GGGGGGGGGGGGGAAGAAAACCAAAAGAAATACAATTTAGAAATACAATCCTTTTTCTATCTTACAAATGTTTCTTAGACCACTGTCATGACTTTCAGCAACATGATTTATGATTTATTTTTTAATTACTATGGCTGGCAGTGCTGCTGCATTAGCTGTCTACATATCTCTCATTTCTGTGATTAGGATGAAAAACATACATTTCGGACATACAAAGAAAATGGGGGAAATAGAGTTTCTTTGGAAACACAGATGTTTTTCTTGCTTTGATGAAAAAAGAAAAACTTAACGTCCTAGAGTGTTGATGGAGCACTTAGGGGAACGCTCAACTTTAAAGTACAGACTTGAAATAGACCCAGTGCTTATATAATTTACAGAGTCACACAAAAGGAAGTTTCAGCTTAAGAAACACAACAGGATATAACTGCAGATCACAATTTGCGTTTGTTTACATGGAAGAATTCTGTTCAATGATAAGTTACAGGATTAAACTGTACTCCTATTCTGCTCACAATGATTCTGGTAGAAAGGGCTGCCCAGCATGGCTAAGACACTATCTTTAAACTTCTGCCTTCAGGAGCCACCACAACATCACAGATCCCACACTGACCAAGGTTTGAAGTACAAGCATTTGTTCTTTTTCCTCCTAGAGAGTATACACCTTATTAAATAGGAGTATTATCATTGCCATATCTTAAAAGGTAAATGATATTCCAAAGCAGCTGGTAAACGCGAGATACTAACATTGTTCACGTAAGTTCCTCAAATGCATACAACAGAGTGACTGAAAGCCTTGTTCTACCTTGTCTGCCATCTACAGTTGCTAATATTTTATTTCCAATTTGAACTCATTTAACCTTATCCAATGCTACAAAACACTAGAGAAAATCTGTCAGGTAGACAGCATCTTCTAGGAAATATATTGTGTATCATGCAGTCTGGAACCAGACTATGTACAACCTTAAATTTCCTGTTCCCAAGCTGCTGCTCAAATAAAGCATTTCCAGAAAGCCAGAGGATGTAATAAGCCAGTATGTATTGATATCAGCCAGACAAGTGGGAATAACCTTTCCTCCTAATGACATTGGTGTAACACAATAGAAATGTTCTGTCAAAGGAAATGACGAACAATATTTTAATAACTGACCTAAATGCAACTGAACCTTTTGTTTTTTAAATAACGCTACACTACAGAACAAAAAAAGAGCAACAGGAAATCCATTGTCATTTATCCAACATGGAGCTAGAATATTGCTTTCTTCAAAGAATTCAAGAACACTTCACCAAAACAGTGTTTATGCTGTACTGCCTTAAAGCTACAGGAATTAAAATGAAATATTTGACTACAAGATCCTTATGAAATACCTTACATTTGTCAACTAATGATTCAAACAAAGCATAAACTGTTTATAAAAAAAAATAGCCTTGAGAAAAATTAAACTACCCACCCAGTACATATATCAATTACAACAGATTCTCACTGATGAAAGAGTAAATATATAATGGTTACACAGATTTTCTGTAACACAAGTTCTGATTTAAATAAAAATTCATTTTTAACTTTAGAATTATATTATTGTAGTGCTTGTTATTTGGTAATTGGCTATTACATTTCTAGTAATCTGGTTAACTTTTCAGAATTGCTGTTCTTTTTAGAAGATCTAAACTTATAAATGTTAACACAAACACTTCTGCAACAATGACATACTTATGTACATTTTTTTTTTCAGTATCATTGAGCTGCTTATTGGCCTTAAGCACTACATTCATTCATCTTAAAATACTGTAAAACCATTTTATTGTGATCCAATTTCAAGTCAAAATACATTCTACATTGTTCTCTCAGTTCCTTCTTCCTTCTATTTTTAAAATTAAAGTAAGCAATTACCTGTAGCATACATTGCTAAACCTAACTAAAGCAGAATTCAATGTTTATCAAGTTGATCCTTTAATGCCTAACTGCTACAATTTCAGCATTGTAATGATTCTTCTGAGAACATGCACTTGTTTCTCACCTTATTCAATGAGAGCAGTTTCCCTGCAACAGGAAATCGAACCCCTTCTTTAGAGAGAAAGTATCTTCTAAATAAAATGTTATTAAGCAATACACTGTTGCATACACTGTTAGACTCTCTAAGTTGTTTTAATATGCAAAATCTTTAACTAAAGGTTTTGGAGCAAAAAGGAGTGCACTTCGTTTTCTGATTGTTTGCCTGAAGGCTGTACTCCAACATGAGCTAATACAGCTTTTTAAGGAACAGCATTTTAAAATATTTAAAACATTAGAAGAACAGAGCGAGCCCCTGGTGTTTCAGTGTTCCATGGCTTCAAGTTTTGCCACAGAACTCAGATCTTGCATAAGAATTATGCTTTGAATGCAACTTCAAACTATGAGTTTCAGTTGTTATGGCTTCAGAAAAAAACTGGAAATACAAAAATACACATAACCTCATTTTCTACAGCCAGACCTGTTGAAGCTTGGCAGGTATGAAAAACCCAATTAAAGAAATAACCAGCAAATATGCATACAGAAAGAGACTTGCTGCTTTCTGTGTCTCCT